GGGGGAGGGGGAAGAGACGGGGGGCCGTACCTTAGTGCACAGGGCCTCGGCGTCCGCGCGGCGGCCCACCTGCTTGAGCCCCGACACGGCCTGCTGCAGACACCAGCTCTCCAGGCCTCGGGGCGCGGCCTGCGCGGACGGCACTGAGAACACAACAAGAGCGCCGTCAGACCGGGGCCACGCGGAGAGCCACCTGCCCCACACACAGCGAGCATGAGCTCCAGCCACAGCCAGCCTCAAACACACTGGAAAATCAGCCACATCCTCAGCAGCGCGCACGAAACGTGGACACTAACTCCTTAATATCGCTGGCCAGTAGCCCCGGGTATTGATCCACAGCAGCTGAAAATAACAGTCTATTACTTATAAATAATAACTGAAGAACCACACACACTGGGAATGTTTCAGTACGTCAGGGCGACAAGCAAAGCATGCGAGAGGAAGACGCATCCGCACACAGACAAAGCCTCCCTAACCCTGAATAAAAACCCCTTTCTAATTTAATCGAGAAAGAGTCCTAGCCTGACAAGAGTCCCAGGTCAGACAGCATACACACCTTTTTCAGACACCAGCGTCAGGAGCGCCCCCTCCAGGCCGGTCCGGCTAGGGGCTGTGCCTCGGAGACAGCTGGCGACGTTCTCCGTGTGGCACGCGGCCAGCAGAGCAGCCCAGACAGCCGGGTCATCTGTCAGGGACACACCGGCCAGGAACGTTACAGGAAGAGGCCGGACTCTGGCAGTCTCAGGCCCGTTCACCTGTACAACTGGACTGCACATTCCTGAAGAGCCTTTCATTAACAAAATAATAATACCTGTCCCGTGAAAGGCATGGCCAAAGATCTAGAAGACTATGATGTCCCAATAATGTACGTTTAAGAAGCTGGACAACATTAAAAGCTACTTTAATTACAAAAGGCAGCTCCATAGTAAAACAGAAAAGACTCATCATGGTCCCTTTCAGCAGAGAAGGGGCCCGGGTCATGTGTCGCAGGTGTACCTGGGCACAGCAGGGCTGCCCTCTGGATGGTCTTCAGCGCGTTCCTGCTGGGGTCTTCTCCCGAGTGCCTGCCAGAAGCCAGCTGGTTCACGCCACTGTACAACAGCGCCCTCTGTGGGGGGGTGGGACAAACGACACTCAGCGAAGACACTGAGAAGCCCATGTGCCTTCAACATGCCTGCTGGGCCACAACACTGCAACATCAAGCTGCCACAGTTGGACTGGGCCGAGGAATCTCTCCGCACAGCGACACAGTGCTTTGTGGCCTGATCTGGCAGAGTGTGAGGAACAACAGCACGTGTGTGTTCTGGGCAGAGCACCGAGGGAGCTCCTGGGGCAGTGAAATGCTCAAATCAACAGCCCACGGCATCAGCACCTGTGGCACCCTGGGGCTGGAAAACCCCCGGTGCAGAGAACGACTCTCAGGGGTGGACCTTGACGGGGAGGTAGGAAGGCCTCTCTCCAGTCGGGCAGCTGGTGCCTCGTTGATTAACCGGCAGTTAAGGCACAAAGGAAAGAGGAGCGCCGAGCACCAGCTCCCCAGACAGCAGCCATGTTCTGGGGGCTTCTGGGTGGGACCCGGGCAGAAAGCTGCAGAGGGTTTCTTCTTTTGAAATGGGCTTTGGAGTCAGATTCTCCCGAGCTCGGCTCTCTCTGCGTTGATCGGCCACCAGATGGAGCAAAGGTGTGACGTGACAATGACATGACGACAACAGCACCACAGCACTGGAACAGCGCCTGCTCTGGACGAGAGCCCGGAGGCCGGACTGTGCACCAGAGCAGACCTGCTGTTCCCACTGGGGCCGAGTCAGGACTGGCTGAAGAAAGGGCCGCAGGCCAGCCTACCTTCCCCTGGGTCATGCTGAAATGGCAGGCCACTCCTCCAGCTGCTGCCCCTCCCTGCAACACACAGCAAGCCCATCACACCTCCCGCAGGAGCAGGACGCCATCTGCAGGGTCGCCGAACTGCCAGCGGGTCTCAGATCTCAGAGCAAAACCTTTATTTCTCGCCGCCGATGTCACGGAAACTCCTGAACTGCTTTTTCATTCCCACCGCCAATCGGAAAATGCAGAACTTTACATTTTAAACTGCACGTTTCGATTTTAACAAACTGCACCGGAGAAGGTACTGGAATCTCTCTGTACATCTCCCAAGGAGAATCTCTTGTGAAACAATAAAACCGCTGGCATACTAAGAATCACATGCTGAGCGTTGGCAGATGTACCTTGGCATTCCTGGGGTTGTACTGAGGAACCAGCCGGGACAGCAGTGCCCACAGGGCGGCGTCTCCGGGGTTACTGGCGCAGGGAACAGAACACAGCTCAGGGCTCCGCGGGTTTCACCACACTTCAGCACAATCGCTCGACTCTCACTCACAGAACTGGATTTACAGACCCTCTCCTTCGCCGGACACTGCTGATCGCATTTTCTTTGAACTTGTAAGAAGACCTTTCTAAGAACACCATCAAAAAGCCACTCACCCGCCCCCAGAACAGTGGAGAAGAAACAGGGAGGTTTGTTGAGAGCCACAGAAATACGAAGGTGTGAAAACAACCCACTGCGATACAACAGGTGGAAGATGTTGTCTTTTAAAGGGAGTGCCCAGTTTAAACATGCAGTGTAATGGAAATCACTGCCTGTTCCGAATTCGAAACAAACATATCTAAACATGTTTTGATTCCAACATTTCTTCCCAAATGTTCTAGAATAGCCTTCTTTTGATTTATTTTTAGGCTGCCCTAGAGACCTACGGACCTCAGCTTCACCGATGCTAAAACAACCAAACTGGACGGTGCTCTTTCCCCAACAGGGGGGTGTGTTACTGCCGTCTTCCTGTGCAGGACCTACACTGGCCCTGTGAATGGTGTGAACGGCCCATTTCTGAAAACCTCGATTTACAGAAGGACTAGAACGGCCTTGTACCGAGATTCTCCAGATCAGAGAAGCGCTTGATTGAAATCCTTAAAGACTTGAGATAAAACACTTGCTGGGTGTGTAGGCCTGCCCTGCTGCCCCGGCTCCGCCGAGCGGCGCCCCCTACCTGTGGACGGCCCTCGCCGCTTGCCTCTGCACGCCCGCGCTGTTCCCCTGCAGAGCGAGGAGGGCGCAGGTGAGCAGGCCGCGCTCCTGCACCGCCTCTGCCGGGCCGGCGTGCTTCAGGAGCTCGCCCAGGGCCGCGGTGGCCAGCGTGGCGTCGCGGCTGACCAGGCCCAGGGCGCAGAGCGAGAGCAGGCTCTCTGTGCAGGGCTCCTTCAGCACGGAGCTGGAACACACGGTTTGCACAGGGCTCGCATCTCTTCCACATGGCCCATGGAAGCGAATGGAGACCTGCTGCGTCCACACACGCATGTCCAAAGCAGGTGACTTAAGATTATACGTACACGTATCATGTCATGAAACATTCAGTGTTTACAGACACATTTATACAGTTTAAAGCACAGATAATCATGAAAAACCTGGTTTCAAGCAGGTGCACTCAAACTTTTTGCCTGGTACTGTACAGAAGTAGCAGAAACGGTCATGAAATTCAATCCCGGTCCTGCAAGGCCAGTGTGTCCACAGGTTTTCATTCCCACGTAGCTTCAAATCAACCCAATCCAAACCTTCCCGTCTATCGACTTCTCCCAGAGAGAGCTAAGAAGCCCAGAAACAGACTGACCGGCCCACCAGGAACCGGACTGCACACCGCAATGCCTAATGTGTCCACTGGATGGCACTGCAGCTCCTCCAGACAAACAATCGAGCAATTTTCCATACTGTTCTTACATTTGTGAGATATTTATGAAAAAAAGCATACACCACATGGATAAAGTTATCTAAGTTCTCAATCTTATTCAGATATTTAGATGCAAGAGTGGTGTACAGAAAAAAAGAATACTAAAAAAAAAGACACAAAAGGGAGCTTCAGTTTGAGGCTATATTGCAACCTCCCATAGAACGTATGACAGACAGCAGCTGCAGACAATTCAAAGCCACTGCCAGTTTTTGGCTGGTTCAGTTGGATATCTTTACTAGCGTTGTTTTAAACAACGTTACCGTGTATCTGAACAGGCCTGCCTCTGCTGCGCGCGTGCCGCTCACTCACCACTTGAAGAGCAGGGTCTTGGCGCTGTCCTTGTTGCCCAGCCGGTGCTGCAGCAGGGCCAGGGCTGTCAGGATGTAGGCCTTCTCCTTCTCAGTGCCCGCCGCCGACAGAGCTCTCTCGTAGGCTGGAGGACAGAGAGACAGAGGCGTCTCAACACACACAGCCTGTCCCCTCCAGCCACTCCCCCTCACCCTTTTCTGACCCCGTCGAAGAGCCGGACCCTGCACTGTCATTCCTGTCCTCTCTGCCTGCTCACCTGCGGCTGGAAAAGCCCGCTTCCTGATCGAATGCTTGGAAACAGGTAACCGCCTTTTTCCCTTCCCTGGAGTTTGGAATAACTACACTCTGCTTGTTTCATAAAAATGAATGTCCTGTCTCGAGATACAAACATTTTTAAATGAATAAATACCAAAAATGCAGAAACAGCAAGCAAACACCTGGGAGGATAAACGAGGTGCAGTATTTAAAGGGAGCCAAGTGACCCAGCGCAGTGCCCCTTTCCCAAGTGAAAAGGGTTCAGACGGACTTCTCTCACAAGACGCACTTAAAGGCAAGCAGCTTCAGTAGCCTGACGTGTTGAAAAACAATAAAATACCTCCTCAATCACTTCTTTGGGAAACTGGCGAAACTCTGCAAGTCACAATCTGAAATGTTGAGACTAACAATGGCTGCAGCACTACATTTTGTTTGTGAGCCCCTGTTTTTGAATAGAATTTCTGAGTATATTCCATTACAATGAACCAAGCCCTCACCTATTTGCTGCCAATCATCACTACCTTTAACCAGATCACTACAAAAGTTTCAGTGATGAAAATCAGAAGAGAAAAGATTCTGTTTACAGAGACAACCTGGAGGACAGGCTGCTACCTCACAGTACGAAGACGAATAGAGCAATGAAAAAGAAAACCAGATCAATAACACACCACCAGAGGGCAGTGTTAACAAGCACAGGTTTTGGGCAGAAAAGAACAGGAAACAGCCTGAGAGATGATAAGAAAAGATCACTTTATTGGCCATATACAATTTCTTGTATTAGGAATTTGTCTTTTCACAGACCCCAGCTTGCTCTCTATGAGACACACAGACAGGGAGAGAGATGCTTGTGGTCAGAGCGCAGGGTCAGCCGTTTATACGGCGCCCCTGGAGCAGCTGGAGTTAAGGGCCTGGCTCAGGGGCCCAACGGAGTAGGATTCCTCTGCTGGCAGCCTTCCAGCCACAGGCGCAGATCCTGAGCCACAGCGCCACCACACTGCCCTGGCAGTCTAACAAACTTTGAATAAAGTTGTGAAGATTCAGTTTCACTCACTCTGCAGACTCCTGCACCAGTTGAGTAGAACTTAGGACAGGAGGCACGTCCTGTGGAAAGTGTGGTAGGAGCCTGGAACAAGCTACCAGCCATGTTGTTGAAGCCCTGTCTTCCAGTACGAACTACCCAACAGGCCGGAGGGGACGAACGTCTCCTGAAACCTCTCCTGCGTCCTGGTCGTGTGCTCTTACCTCTGATGCTCTCCTGCAGGAGGCCACGCCTGAAGCAGGCCAGTGCCAGCCCGGCGATGTCCTGCAGCTCGGTCAGCGGCGTGGACTCGTAGGCCTCCACAGCCCGGCGGTACTGACCCGTGGTGCTGTGGCAGACGTTTGCGGTGTTAGAAAAGGGTTGCTTTGATGGTCCAAGATAAGTCACGTTTGAAAACAAAAAGGCTTTTAGGACCACAGCAGGGGCACTCGTCTGGAACAACCGGTACACTTGTACAAAGACCACGCTGGCCGTCAGCGACAAACACTACTCTAAAACTGGCAGAAACACAGAGCCAGTGCCTTTTCATTTCAAATGAACAGCTGCTGCTAAAAGCTTAAATCACAGACGCACATTTATGCGAGTCTCGTATTTTCAACAGTAAAAAATACTCAGTATTAACTCATGGTCTTAACTCTTGACAATGACAAAATCAAAACTCATTTACAGAGCAAGAAATCACAGCTGGAGCAGAATACTCAGTGTGATTCACAAATAATCTTTCCTCAGGTTTCACGCTGCTGAGGGGACACTACGAGCAAAATCCCCGATCACTGTCATCTGCAAACCAGCATGAAGACACGAAACATCTCTCACAAGAACGTGTTGTATTTGTTATGACTTCTTGTGCAGATACTGTAATTACTACACTTTACATGCAGCACATTTCTTCATTTTTCTCCCCCAAGGAACAGCCTCTACTTTCTGGTTATCGACCCGTCTGAATATAATATCAGCATCTGGTCAGCGCTTTGGGCTCTGCACCCTGCTGGGCACCAGGGAGGCTAGAGAAACTGCAGACACACAGGCTCCGTCCAGCTGGGTTGAGGCTGCGGCTGTGGCTCGTCGCTGACGACCATCAGCCCTGCCTCTTCCAGCGTGTGAAGCCTCATACAGAAAGAAGCTGCTTGATAACTTCAGAACATCCAAGTCATCCAGTCTGATGTCAAACACGTCTCTCACAGGGAGCGCTGGAGACTCTATAGGCTCTGCTGCGCAGCTGCCACTAAGCTTTGAAACACAACACTGACAGTGAAGCAGGGGGCCGCCCTCCTCCACACAGCCAGGAGAACAACGTTACCAGAGGCTCCTGCCCAGGTTCCTGTGAGCAAAGCTCAGCTCTTCTGTCTGCGCTGAGGACTGCAGCAGCTCCACAGCCCTACAAGACACAGGGTTTACATTTTCACACAAGGTCCACATTTCACAAACTGAGGTAAGCTAGTGTTACATAGACTAAACAACAATCTCCCGACTGTGTGTTTTCCACATGCTGGCTCGCCGTGACGAACCCTGTGACCGCACACGGGAAGGGACAAGGACAAGCGGGCTCCGCCCCGCCCACCTTCGGGCCATTGGTCTCTGAACACATCACACAGGCTGCTCCGCCCACTACCGGTGGAGCAGCTCTGATTGGAGGAGGGGCGTGTCCCTCACCAACAGCACAGTAAGCCTGCAATCGCCTGGGAGGCCACAGGGGGCGCTGCATCATTGAGAGCCAAGCGGACCCTGGCTGACGACGGAGCTCGCCATCAACCCAGGCTCGAACCCGCAATCATAGAGGTTGAAAGTGGACCTTTTTTGTAGGAAAAACACCTTCTTCAAAGGCAGTTCAGACCTTATTACCAAGTGTGGTTGCAACACATCTTTGTGCACATTCAGCCTGAACGCAGGAAGATCAACAGCTGAATTGCAGCAGGACACTACAGCTGTGTTCATTCCCTGAGCACCCCCCTTATTAACAACCCCCCTTATTTTCATGCCCTGAGCACCCCACTTTAAAAACAACCCCCCTTATTTTCATCCCCTGACCCCTCTCATAAATAAACACCATTTTTTTCCCCCAATCTTTGACTAGAATTAATTTGAAACCGAAAGCAATACATGAGAAATCGCAGAAAATCGGAAACCTATCACTGCTGGTAATTCTGTGTGTCAAAGGCCGCCAGCTCAGGGAGCAGAAGGAAACGCTGTGAATGTTACAAGAGGAACTCCAGCCGCTGTCTGTGACTGCGCTGCCTTCCCGGGCCGGAGCGAAGAGGAGCAGTGGGCTCACCTCTGGTACGCCTGGGCAGCCTGCTGCTTGAGCTGCAGGTGTTCATTCAGATATCCCAGCATGGTGAAGGCAGCTGCGTCTGTCTGCACTCGCTCTGCAGAGCAGGAGGAGGTGAAAACACACGTCAAATACATGCAACACCTCTCAACACCTTCCTTCTTCCTTAGCCCTGCCACCTGCCTGAAAAGTCACTTCTATCCTCTCACTCTTAATTCTGCTCAGTTAACTGCATTCAGTTGCGCATTCCCTTTGTCCGTTTTATCACCACGTGTCCTGAGAAAATTACATTTTAAATAAAAAGTCAAAGTTAGATCACTGCCGTTAAAAAGTACTGCTCTCCTCTGTTCGGTTTGCTCTGCAGCTTCAGGCTGGATTTATTTTTGAAATATCGCTCCAGGCTTTGAAGAGCTGAGTGAGGTGAGGCCCTGTGGCTCGACTGCAAACAGACCGGCTCTGTGCAGACAGAGGAGGGCGTGAGCTCCGAGCGGTGCAGGGCCCCACAAAGACGCTTTCGGAGTTGGAACATATTTCTCAGTCAAAACTTACAAACCTTAAGATACTGAAAGCACCACTTGGCAGGATTTTTCACATTTATTATAGTTTTAAAAAATATATGAACTACATAACATCCTCCTCCTCCTCGAAAGCCTCAATGCCCTCTAGAAACAGAGGGTTGTAAAGAAGCCTAAGTGCATCACAGATTGTGTGTCTCACCCCCTCCACTGCGAATTCAAACTCCCATCTGGGAGGTGTCTCTGTGTCCCCAGGTGTAACAGCAACAGACTGAGGAAATCGGTCACCCCCTCTGCAATCTCACTCTCAAACCATTCAAAATAACTCTTATCTCCTGAAGCACTCGCGTGCTGTGTTTTTTAAAGGTGAGGATTGTCTGTTTTTGTTTTGCTGGACTCTGCAGTAAAACGATGGGGATAATAAAGACTCAACTGCATCGGATTGAAAACTTCCAACCCCAATACCCATCTTGAACTGAAATACTACATGCTACCAGCAGGGGGCAGAATGAGACCGCATTACAGAGGAGATAACTTCCACAAGAGACAATGATTTTATAAAAAGCAGGATTTTCTGCTTTAGAGAAGCAATTTTTTATATTACTTTAATAAAACAGAATTAAATACAACAATTATTGAAATTAAAAGGTACTTTTACTTAGAATGGCAGGTTTTCATTCTCTACACATCTCTTCAATTGGTGCAACGCTTTTCTATATTCATTGCTCTTGAGCCTACGTGATAAAATAACAAATAAGACTTGAAATTCTGAAGTGGAAGCAGTACTGACCTGTGTATTTGCACAGCGCGAGCTGAGCTGCAGAAATGGCGTTCATCTGCACGATGTTGTAGCGGTATAGTTCGGACTTCCTGTTGGTTTTGTCCAGCAGCGTGGAGCACACCCAGTGCCCGTACCCTTTCACCCCTTCGGTCTGAACCCAGAGGAGGGAAAGGAAACGAGACAGAATGATGAGCAACAAAGGACCGCATTCACACAGAAAAATGTCCCTTTGATCGAAACAGTGGCATTTAGATCGATAACAATGCTGTTTTTTTCCTCTAACAACATAATTGTCAAATTGCAATGATTATAAGATTAAAACAACATCCTGTTTGCTGCTGCTGATGTAACAGCTGCTCTTTAAGTATTGAGCAGCTCTCTTCTGTGTCAGTACGCACTCACCTGTTTCCCATTTTAAGATGTGCATCTGGTCACTCGCAGGCAGAGACTGTGCGTACTGCAGAAGGCTTTTTACAACTCAATTCTTAATTCAACAAGCGGGAACTAATTCTCACTTGGAATGATGGCTTGGAAAGTCCTCGCTTCCTGAGCGAGGCACAACACTCCTGGGATTTGACCCACAACCCTCTGACAGCTGCTGTCTGTGGGGAGCAGTGGGGTTCTCACGAGCAGCCCCAAGACTGGGGATCCCCAGCCATGCTGGGGCTGCATAGAGAGGAGCCCCGCTACGTGCAGAGCTGCTCCTTGGTGAAGGAAGGTTGGTGCGATTTGAAGGGGTCTTGTCACAAAGTGACAGAAAACACAATTTTGTCGGCCTACTTTCACCATTAAAAGGTAGGCCACACCTAACAAACACCTACACCCCTGGCAAACTCAACTCAAGCGCAGCTGGACGGTTATGAACCGGAAGAAACTATGCAGGAGAACGGTCTGGGAATTTTTGTTGACTCATTTTCTACATCCAGACAGTACACAGAAGCAAAAACAAACAACCGACAACACTTGGATGTGCTGTTCAGGGTGTAGAGTGTAATGCAAGCCCAGGAGGAGATGTTAATTATCCCATCATTAATGAAACCTCACTTGCAGTACTGTGTTCTGTGTCCCACCATACAGACAGAATTGCTCTGGAAGGCAGGAGAAAGGAGAGCAAGCAGACTGATTCCTGGCCTTCCTGAACATGTTCTTGAGCAACCTCTTCGTTTCCTGACGGGTCTTGTCCGGATCAGCTTGGGGAACACGTTGAAGACCAGGAGCAACATGGGGTCCCAGAGACTCAAGCAGAACTGCACTCATTCAGGATAGATGTCGGGATACACGGCTTCACACAGAAGATTGTAGGAGTCTGGAGTCCAATCTCAGGTCATGTGATTGAGGCTGAAATTGTTGGGTTCCTCAAAACATGGGGTTCCCCAACCATACCCTAGAGAGCTGCAGGTTTTTATTCCAGCTCATCTCTTAACAATCTGCTTGGACTTATTACAGGCTTGACTGGAGCAGTTTATGTAGTCTATACTGTATATAATCTGGTTTAAAGACACCCCTGGGGATACAGCCCTCTAGGGCTCAACTAGGAAACCCCTCCTGGAAGACAAGGTTCTCACAGCAGGGTTTCTCCAGTCCTGTGTGTCCAAGGGTTGTCAATACAGCTGGGCTTTCAGAAATCAAACCAGATGGCTGTTGCCTTAATCACACAGCTACTCAGATTGTGGTGATTTAAAGACAACTGGAAAACCTGCAGACATACCAACCATCTTGAACCAGGAAAGGGGGCCCTGTCTTACAGGATTAATGCGCAAGATGCAGGCCTCCCCACCTACCATAGTGATGCCCTACTCTGAGCACTGGGACATGCCCCATGCTAACCACACCCCATTCTCCCAAGATATCACCCTGCATTTTTGCTGCTGTCTCATCTTTCCTGTCCCACTTTACTGCTTCTTTCCAGCCTTCCTGACACAGCAGCGGTTTCCAGTCCTGGTGCGTCTCCAGCTCGGCTCCTAATGAGCTCCAACAGCTCATTACTGGCTTAATGGGACCAGTTGAGCAGCCTCTCCCAGCTCTTCCTGCACGGCTCATGCTTGAAGCAGGACAGGACACCCTTGTGACAGAGGCGTAAAACACATTTAACATGAACTTCCTGTTCTTGTTACACTGTATACAAAATAACACACCTCTAAGGAGAACAGTGCCACTATTTACTCTGGTTTACTCTGATGTTACAGTCAGCAAACCTGAACTCAGAAGAAGGTTCCCTTGCTGTCACGGGCATTACTGAAGGACACCGAAGGGCACTGTGACTCTCGTGACTGCTGCCCTGCTGGTGTGGCATGAATGCGGAGCAGGTCCGGTCTGCTCCCTCACTTACATGGGTGCTGAGCTCCGTTGTGTGCCGGAAGAGATCCATGGTTTCGTAGCTCCCGACGGTCTCTGCAATGAGGGCCTGGGGGAGACGACAGAAGCACAAGGGTGCTGTAAACACAGCGGTCACTGCCAGGTACAGGAGAATGTGCTTCTATCTACCTACCAAAATAAGCCAGCAGATCATATGTGGTATTACTGGTACTGTAGGTATTAGGAAATTAAAGACATTAGACAAAGCACAGCAAATTTAAGAAGCACTTTAAAAGGTGGCCAACCAATATACTGTACATACAGGGC